TCGTTCGCTATATTCGTTCTTTTTTTTTTTAATTTTATAGCCATGATACCGCACTCAAATGCAGAGGAGGAGCAAGAGCTTCTGATATTGATGATGATGAAATTGCCAAGTTTGGTTTAGGTTTAGTTTCAGTTTCAGCTTAAGAACTTCCCATAAACACTTGAGCTGTGAAATGTTAATAACATACTTGTCCATGGGAGGGTGTGCGTGTGTGTGTGCCAGCCACAAATATGCTGCTATTAAGCTAGAAAATTTAAGAACTTTTGATGCATCAAAAGTTGCGAACTACCAAAACATATTTTACAACATTTTTACGCGTTTGGCGATAAACTGTTATATGAAACTATCTAACAGAACAGGTTTAAACACTTTTTTTTAAAGATCTCCTTGAAGTGTGTCTCGCACATTTTCGAAAATCCCTGTTAAAATATTTTCGGTATATTATTGGTATATAAAATAATCTAATTTTCAAAGATTTCTACACAAATATTTTTATTACACATATTAAAGTGAATAGAACAGATTGGTATCAAAAATATTTGTACTTTTTGAATGCCCAAGGTCTGACTGGATTCTCCCAAATTAAATAATGCTATCTAGCTATGAGCTTAGCGAAGTATTAATAGAAATATTAATTCTCTCAGGTAATTTAGGATTATTGGGATATATAAACAAATATTATACATTTGTCTGTGTACAAAAATCTTAGAAAATGCATTATATACTCTTGTATAACACATTTTCTTCGTTTAATCAAAGAGCTGAAGGATCGAATGAACCGTGTAAAATTGTATTTTTGAAGCTTGAAATCAATTGAATTATTAAAAGCACGGGCATAGCCGGGTAATGCGTGTTGCTTGCACATATTTGTGCATAAAATTCAATTGTGAGCTGGTCACACTTTTCGACATGCCGCATAAATTACGTAGTGCAATTTGTAGCTGAATGTTACATGTAATGGACATGTATGCGTGTGTGTGTGTGTCCATAAACAATGGCCAAAAGAGCTGACCCCTAAAAACAGAAACCAACAGACAGACGGACGGACGGTTGTGCCCCCGTTCGTCGTCGCACTTGAAGCACATAAATTACAATGTGCCTGTTGTCTTCATAAGTTTAAAGCACACTCACACGCCCCCTGTTGGCCGTAACTGTCAGACACCTGCAGCAGCAGCGAATAATTTTTTTTTAATTTAAAAAAATCAGGCAACTATAACTCTATATATATATATGTATAGATATCGCTTGGGTTATTTCAAGTGGCGTTTAAATCAATCGGTTAAGTTTTTTGCATTTGACACGCTCAAACGGGCCACACAGCTAAATCAGTCAGCTGCTGAGTGAACGGGGGAGGGTTCGTTGTTGGAGAGGGTGAACAGTTGCTTGTTCGATATTTATGACAAACATGCCGCTGACGGCAGCGCAGCGAGGGTCGCTCCGTGTGTTATAAAATGCGTTCATGCCATGCTTAGTCGAAAAAGAAAAAATTCTGTTAACAAAATCGAAATACCAGCAGAGGAATTTCTATAAAAATGACGCACACGCCTTGCATGAACTGTGTCTAGGGCAGGGGCAGGTGCTATGTGCTGTGTGCGGGTAGGCGTGGCTAGGTGCGTGTGTTGTGTGTGCGTCTGGTTTTGACACTTTAACTACGCGCTCGCACTTTGGGGCCTGGTTGCTGTTCGTGTTGTTGCTGTCGCCTGTCATTTTGTGTTTATTTTTAGCTGGGGGTCGTAAATGGCGTCGCCGACATTGTCAGGTAGCTGCTTAACACGGCGTCTGGCGTTGCCACCTTGTTGTTGTGTATGCGTTTAATTTTGTTGTCGCTGGCATTTGATGCAAAGTGCATTCATAAATATTTGCTCGATTGATTTTTAAACCTCATTTTAATGGCACTTTTATGCATGCATTATGTGTCGATGCGCTTTTTGATTTCGCGCCTAATGTGAATTTCAATTTGCACGCAACGTTGCCCAAATTATTGAAACGGAAGATTTTTTATGGCTTTTTAAACGCAAAGCGTGCTAATCCCAAATTGCCATCTATTGTTCTGTTTGTGTGTGGAAGAGCTAATCAAACGGCAAAGTCTTTCGTTATTAAATTTTTTAAATTTAAATGTTACACTTAAAGTTAACGTTTATGGCTTACATGCGAGATTTAACATGAGCGTTTTCTGTTAACTTCTAACATTTGACATCAGTTAACATACCTGTAATTAGAAGAAAGAGAAGGAATATTTTATAAATATGTGCTGACTGTTAAAGTTCAGTTTAAGAAATGTAAAAATAACTTTTTGGGACGTTTGAAAATGTGTCTTATTTTTAATGTGATTCGAAAGCTAGAACCAAGTTAAGACGTAAATTAGTGCATCGTCTTTAGCAGCTGGAAATTGGGAAAGTTTCATTAGAAATTGAAAAACAACGTGACTAGAAAAAGTTCGAGCCTTGCTTCATTGATGTGGAACACGAAACGAAACACTTAAAGGCGCAAAAGTTAATCGAAGCGTCGTCAATTTTATATTTATACATCGTATATCGTATCGTATATATTTATTATATCGTATATCGTATATTGTTTGGACTCTCAGTTTAATAAGCCACACATTCTACAAGCTGTGCTATTTCAGCACTTAGCCGGTCCGTCCAATGCATTCCCCGAGCAAAGGCTGTCTAAAGCTGCTTATAGGCAGCTGAGCTGAATGGGATGGTGAAAGAGGGGGGAAAGACTCGGAAGCAGCAAGGATATGACATTTATTGAGTCGATGGCAACTGCAGCTGCATTTTGACTAAGCCAATAAGCGTTTAAGTAAAAGGCGCAGCCGAGTGCAAGTAAAATAAAAAATGTACCAAATGGGCGTGGCACTTGGGTAAATGCAACGTCTCCTTCCCCATCTGCTCCGCCTGCGTCTTTATCTCGCAAAGAGTAGGTCTAACTGGCGCATTTACCTTGTTCGCCAGTCAGCTTGTTGCACACGAATTTACTTGAAGATTTTTCTTTGGGGTCCACCCGCCGCTCGGCTCATGCCTTTGCTCGCCCTCAGCTGTCGTCACGTTTTAGCGCTTTAGTAGCTGCAATTTGTTGAAGCGTGCGGCCGGGCAAAGTGCACACATCTGCAAATAACTTTGACGGTAATGCAAATTAAAGCCAATTTACGAGCTGCTACGTTAAGCCAAACGTAGCCAAATGGAGCCAAACATTTTTCAGCCAGTCGCCCAATTGCATTAGTCAACCCAATTTAATGCTGACGAGGTGTGAGCTCAATAAATATAATCATGTTAAAGCTAAGCGATGCGTGCGGTTAGCATTCACAATTTAATGGTCTTACCAACTGAGAATATAACGTATATAGCTGTTACTATTGTTTTTTTTTTACCAACTTATCAATATAGGCATATAATTCTTTATCGATATTCAATCGTGCCTCCTTGATAGCCCAACAAAATGAGTTGAAAGCTTGGTGAGTCACGAAATTTAAAATGCATTTCTGCATCTCCTGCCCTATAGAGTATATATATATTCCACAGCCATATTCGTCTGCCTGCTGCTATGCAACTAGTATCTCAGTTATCGTCTGGAAAGTTTGGTCGGCTTGGACCACTTTATCGTATCATAGAAATCAACGACATGCAAGTGTGTCATTTATCTATATAGATATATTAATACAAACGATATTTAAGTGTTTTCATTTTGATAGCTATAGAATATATCTAGCGCCTAATCAAATCTACAAATACAAATTAGAGCAATCAAGAGATAAAGAGAGAGAGAGAGTTTACACTTTAAGCTAGCGCACATAGGTGTGAACTCAATAAGCTACACATAAACAAACGGCACTCGAGTGCTAGCTTTGGTATCTGGGCAAATAAAAAGTAAACCCTTGGCAAATACAAATAGAAACACAAACACAAATATAAATACAAATGGCAGTCACGAGCAAACGAAGGCAAATGGAAATCCTGTCCAGCAATAAGCAAACAATGCTTGCATGATTATGTGTCTGTGTGTATGTGTGTCCGTGTGTGTGTGTGTGTGTGTGTGTGTTGTGCGGGTCAGTTGCGGTCAGCTGCGAGGGTTGCGAGTCGAAGCCGTTGGCCAGTTTGGTGTCAAAACAACAAATTGTTTTTTAATGCGCCACGCCCCGAATCGTCCAGCCCAGCCGCCAGACAAAGGGCAAATACAAATGCCAATACAAACAGACATACACATATACAGACATACACACACACACACACACAAACACAAACACACACAAGTGCACGTTTTGGCACGTTCAACAATGGTCAACAACTTGGGGAAAAGGGCGTGGCATGCCGCGAGCGGCATTCAACCATTTTTCGGAGCCTAAACAAAAGCCTCTATTATTGCATTTCGTTTCAAAGCGGAATTTCTAGACACACGCCGGTCAAAAGTCACAACAATGGACCATTTACGGCCATTGCACGATGGGTGTGAGGCTGCTAGGGTGTGGAGTGAGAGGGGGTGTGTGGGGCACAGGTGTGAGGCCCAACAGCTTTGTAGCGGCACTTAAAAACGTTTCACAGCAAAGCCCAAAACTAATTGTTAGCCACTTGCTCAAAAAAACAGACAGCCCTTGCCAAAAAAAAAAAAAAATAAATAAATAGTGCGAAGCGAAGTTGCCACGTTATGAAATAGTTCGGCGTTGCTCAACACTATTTTTTTTTATTTCTGCACCTGGCTGGCGTAAAATATGTTAGTCTTTTGTTATATCACTTTTTTCAACTTTTTGAGTGTGTGTGCGTGTGTGGGGAAGGGAGGGGGGGAATAGCTGTGTCCCTTTTGTTTAGCTAAAAGCTGTTGCATATTTTCCCGAAATTAAATAGCTTGCCAACACATAATTGACTTGAGGCAGCTAAACGAGATGCCCCTTAGATTCCGCAGTTTTTTTTTCCTTTTAGAATTTTTTGCCAGTAATGTGTAAACCTTTTATATGTACATATTTGAATTTTATTATATTATTATATTATATTTATTTATTACAGAAATATTGACGAGCATATTCCTGGAATTAAAATATGCTACATAAAGCGGATGCTCCACGCTTCAGGTAAGTGAAATCCCAACGAAATTTTAAACCAACAAACTTTTTGCATATTTTCGTTCATTAATGGGAAAATGAAATTTTTAAAGCTACAAGAATATTACGTTTTTTTTGTCTTTGATCCGTGACCTAGCGTCAAACCGCTAAAAATTACTAAGCGCCTCGGATTACAGAGACAAGCGAAAACAAAAAACTCTCACACACACACACACACACACACGCAAACACATACACAAAACAATGGCAATTTATGCTCTTTCTAAGCTTTTAAGCGTGCAGCGTGCTAAGCGTATTACACACACTTCTGGCAAAAAAAGGGGGCAGGGAAAGGAGCACAGATTCGAAGTTCTGTGAAAACAATTTGCTGGTGAACTCAATTAAAACAACAACAACAGCCACAAGAACAAAATCAGCAAAGACAACAATAAAAACAGCAACAACAACAACTTAAGGGAAAGACGCAGCGAACTGTGGCATGCGTTGGGCTTGATTTTATTTTTTCGTGAGCCTGGGCATATCTTGCGTATGCCGTTTTTTAATTAAATTTACGTTATTCGAAATGTGCGCAGCGTAAACATGACCCAAGCACGCTCTCTGTTGTAAAAGTGTTGTAAACTTTTGCGTTAAATCAAATTATGGAAATTATACTTATTTGCTTATGCCCTACGAAATGGGTTGCAAAAGGCGGGCTATATTGCCTATAGGTAAATTTAACTCAAGAGGCATTGCTCTATTCAATCATCGAAGAGTTTATCTATCTGCCAGTCTGTGTGTCTTTAAGAGAGCATGAGGTCTTTAGATATTATGTAGGGAATAAAATTATAAATTGAGAGAAACAGAAAGTGTGTGCAAGGTATCTCGCAGTCGACCCCTCATAACTGCCACATGCTCTGATTTTATTTTTTGACGTTTCTTGCCAAGCACATTTGCAATTAGGCAATGGAAAGTTCACTAGCAGTTGCTGTTCTTGTTGTTGTTGTTGCTGTTGCAGTGGCGCTGACTTTGGAGAGTCTTGTAGAGTTCGAAAAGAAATGCCAGCTCAAGTTTTGGGCGTAGTTTTGTGGACCAGGCAATAGAGTTGCCAAGCGCACAAAAACAGGCTATGCACGGCTGACATACGTCAAATGCACACCCACAGCCATGCCAACACACACACACACACACACACACACAGACAGAGAGGGCAAGCTTACAGTGTGCCCAACTTTATGTAAATATCATATGTTGGGCACAGAACCTGGTCCCAGGGACCTGCATGATGGTTGCAGATGCTCTTTGTGCTCAAGAAAGTGCAACTAAAACGCAGTCATGCTGCACAGGATAATCCTAGGGATAATCTACATGCCTGCATCCGCACTCCCCACTCCCCACTCCCCTGCACGCCCTTGCACTGCCCGCGTTCCCTGCGCTCCCTGCTTCGAGTATAAAGTCAAACAAGGCGGCACACAAAGTGCTCGACTGGGCGCACAGCTCACACATGTTCAATTTTTATGCCAACAAAGCGTTTTTTATTGGCTCTCCCGAATGTGTGTGTGTGTATTTGGGCTATGGGCGTGGCACAGTTCGACTGCATATTTTCGCGGCCTTTGTTAACAATTTTGTACTTTTTTTGGCCAATATTTCTTTTGTTGTTGTTGCTGCTCAGCGATTTTTGCTGCAAAATTGAAATGCATTCGCAACTTGGACTTTGAGCGCTTGCAATTTGCATTCTATTATTTTTTCGTTCTTCTTTTATTTATTTTTTTTTTGTTAATTTTCCGTTGTTTAATGTTAACGTTTGTTGGAGCCGCAAAAGCTGAGCTTATAGCTGTTGGCTCAAGCGGTTAAATAGGAAACATTTTAGTTTCTGTTCGAGCAGACTCCTGTGAAGAGTATCCGAGAGACTGTAAAACACAAGCTGCAATTGTTTTTTATATATAAATTTGTGACGACAAATTAATATGCCCTATGCATGATATTCCATCATTGAAAAGAATGTATAGTTAGATATTAGCTGAAAGATCGAATGCTGATCAAAATTCTCGGTCAGAAAGACCAGCACAGGAGATTTAAACCTTAATCGTATTAGCGGCTTGTGTTCACTCTAGTTAGATTTTTAAACCAGTGTGGAAAAATGCATTTGGCCTTTTGTGTTAGCAGCGGCAAAATATTACTCCAGGCAGTGCTCTTTAATAAAAATTGACAAAAGTTTCTGCATTTAATTGCCTTCACTAAGTGGAACATTTCCATTTGTGGAACATTTTACACCACTACACAAAAACTACCCAAACAAGCTGATTCGCAATAGTTTTCCGCAGGTGTCGCACAATGCAAACATATTTTTTTTAAATGAAAGGCGTAAAATATATTTTATCAGATAACTCAAAAAAAACATGTAAACACGAAAAACGTATTCAATATACTTTCATGGTGAATTTCAATCAAAACATCCAACGATTAACAAGCTTCTGATAGGCCGAGCCGAGAGGATTAAACAGGGCTGTTGATGATTATGGCCACTCGCATGTGTTAAGCAGCACGCGCCGCTGAAAAAATATATGTGTATAGGAAAAATATAGAGAAACTAGCACAAAATTTGCATGCATATCTTTATGAGGCAAACGCGTAGCTGTAAAACAACAACAGATCCGTTGTTCAACACTGTTCATAGCACACCCACACAAACACCCCGTACCCCTAGCGGGGCAGATCAAGAAAAACAGCAACGCAACAATTTTTCGGCGTGGTGGCTTCTGTTTTGCTCTTGTTTTTGTTTTATTTTTTTTTATGCAAATTCGCTGCATATGAAAAATTGTCAGAGTAGTAGAAGAAAAACGAAAATAAAATAATAAAAAATATACAAGAAAAAACAAAAAACAGCAGAAACAACAACAACAAAAAGGGCAACAAAATCATAAGCGAGCATAGCATGTGAAGAACGAAATGTGCAAACTTTAATAAAAGACTGTGCAAAGGAGGCGACGTAAAAAAAAAACAAAGAGAAAGAGCAAGCGAGGTAGAGAGTCATAAATTTGCAGTGCTGGCTAGTGGGCGACGGGCGCATTGGGTAGTGTTGTGTAAGGGGAAAAGCAGCACTTCAAACAAAGCAACACTCAACGTCAGAGCTGCCCCAACAAAATATGTAATTTTAATGCAACAAGCTGCAAGGGGTGGGAGCTTAAGGTAACGATGGCTTTGGGTTGCCAGCATATTAAAAGTCAAAAGCGTTGAGCTGCTGTTAAAGCAGGCAAGCATAGTGAAAAGTTAACGGATGGCAAGACGAAAAGGGGTGCTGCAGATTTTCTTTGCTGCTGCTGCTGCTGCTGCTGTTGCATCTGGCTTGTTGCATGCGGCACGGAAATTTGCGTTGACAACAATGCGACATGTCGTCTAAAACCGCAAAGTAGCAAAATGCAATGAGTTAAAGAGAGTCGGAGAGTGAGGGGCGGAGGGGGGGGGAGGTTGGAAGTGGGCAACTCTTAAAAAATTACTTAATAATAACAATGTTTGCATGCTTGTGGCTCCAACATGTGGGGGCACTGCCTGTGAAGGTGTGTGTATGTGTGTGTGTGCTGCATATTAAATGTTTAATAATCTACAAGGGGCAAAATAATTGCAAGCTGCAAGTTAAGAGCAAAGTTTGAAATTTAAATTAAACTCATTTGTGTTTTAAGCTCATTTACATGCAAATGTTATTAAAATGTTAATAACGAATGACAGAAAATCGATCGATAACAAATCGAAAAATGTTAAGCAGAAAACTGACTTGTCAAATTAAGTTAATTAGATATTTGCGTTGCATTGTCTACGGCAAATTACTTTAAGCAACTGTTAGGTTAACATAAATAAATAATGGGAAATAATGGGATATCATTTGTCGCACGTATTTAAATAATGAGAAATATTTAAGAAAAACTTATTGATATACATTTTTGATGGGAAATCTGAGAATTAGAAGCTAAATGTTATACAAATTTTCAAACATAAACGTTGATAATGGGAAATAATTGAGAATTATATAAAAAAAATTATATTTTTTAGCATAAACAAATAATGAGAAATTTTGAAAAATTTGTAGAAAATGTATCAATACATATTTTATGTTCAGCTTATTGCATTTCACCGCCTAAAATCAAATTGAAAACGCTTAAAGCACTTTGTGTCTTATTTTTTTTTTCTATTGAGTTGAATTTCTTTTCTTTGTACTTTTTGGTCCTTCGCATAATTGTTTTCTTGTGTGTTCATTCACTTTTTTTTCTTGGCTTTATTATTGCACACTTGAAATTAATAACAGACACAAAACAAGCAGAAGAACTTGTAAAGCTTTTGCTTTTTTGATTTATTCGAAAGAAGTCAGCCCCCCAGCCCCCTACTTGCGTTTGGCATAAATCAGAAATTGTAATGAAAATGTTTCCGCAGCACACAGAAAACTTGTAACTTCTAATTGGTAATTGCACTTGTACTTTTTTACCTGCGCAACCTTTTCGCCCCTTTCTACAGTCTAAAATCTGCCTGGGCAGGAGTTGCCAAATATCGTAACCAGCTAGTTTGAAAACTTGTGAATTATGCCGACAGTTTTATGCATCTTTTGACCTGAATTGTTGTGTGCTCGTTTACGAGGTAACTAGCGAGAAAATGGAAGCAAAGAAATTTTGCATTAGAATGAAAGGTTTTACATTCGCTCGAGTGCTGCATAAGCTGGGAATGAAAATTGATGCATGTCGCATTTATTACGAATACAATTATAATTTAATATACATTTATTTTCATTGAAAATTCATTTTATTCAAAAACAAATTTATTATATTTATTGCAAGTTTCTTGTATGTGAATGCAATTTTTTGACATTTGCAAAGAGGTTACGTTTATTGCTATGTCGATTATTACATTACATAATACTAAGTTATATTAACTTTTATCGTAACTGTAATAACTTGTATAACAGTTTTCAAATGTTAACGATTTGAACTTATTTGAAATGCATGTTCAGCAGCGGGTCATAAAACTTGAAGCCATTAACACTAGAT